TTCGTTTTCTTTGTTTTTTTTTTTAATTATAAAGTATTGATTGGTTTTTTTTTCTCCGGCAGAAAATAATGGTGTCCAGGAATCCATTAAACCCCTAGCTAATGCAGCTGATGAGAATCAGGAGATGCCACATACAAATAACAGAAATGGCAGTTGCAGCAAGGAGCAGGCCTCAAATACTGACAACTCCGATCCTCAAGATAGGTACTAAACATCAAATTTCTTTGATGAAACTCTTGAGGTTTATCAAAGTGAAGTTTTCAGTTATGTTGCTATATTTTGATGCCTTCTCAATTAGTTTTCGCATCGAAGATGCTCAAAGTATGATGGCATTGTTTCTTTGCTATGTAGTGTGTATTGGTTCAATTCTCTTGTTATTATCTCGGATTCTTTATAATGTTTCTGAAATTTCTTTGTCCTTGAAGCAGCTTTGACCACAACCTTCCTGATAATCTATTTGCTTCTCCTACAAAATCTGCTGCAGAACAACATGTTGCGTTTTCAACTGATTTAGCCGCTGCTGATGTTAGTTCCGCAATACCAATGCCTGCTACTGCTACTACTACTACTACTACTACGAACAATATCCCTATGCTTCCCGCCACTTCTGCCTTCAACATGGCTTCTCTCAAATCATGTTACTTTCAGGTTCCAAGGTAGTACTTAAAACTCTAGCCGTGTTCTTCTCTTGCTTGGTTTCAATAGAGCACTTAATGTGAGGTTAACATTGATCAGGTTTACATCTGGCCAAGAAGCCACTGAAACTTAAGTGTTCCAGTTGATCATCGTTAGCGAGGAAGGGGATTAACTTGGTAAAATATCTTGTACATTAGATTCACTTTCATCTTTCTTATCTATAAATAAATATACTTAACAAGATTCTCATTGTGTTTGTTTATGCAGAAATGTTGGTAGCATTATATACAAGTAGTAAAAGCCCTCTAGCTGTATAGCCAAAACACAACAGAAGAAAAGATTTGTAAGGAAGATCTCCTCAAGATTATTGCCATCATCAATACCATACTACTTACAACAAAATACATAATGCATAGGTAAATGACAGATGAACTGATTTATGGGAAATGGGGTCCCTCTCTTTGTTTATTTTTGTACCCTCTTTGTAGTTTGTGTGCTGGACCACACAGAACACAATACCATAACAAAGGCTAGTAATAGTAGTAGTATCCATTAGATATTGTAGTACCTTTTTCTTTCTCTGCCTTCTTAATCATAACTTGCTGTCATGTAAAATTTTGATGTAGAAAAATTATAAATCTTTTAGATTTGCCTTATCATGAAAAAATTGAAAGTCTTGATAGATTACCATGTTTCTACTAAATGAGTATATATAGATTTAGCTTGTCAGCAGTTAAAAATCTGTTGCAGCCACTTGATTGAATGATCCATGAGGGATCCAAAAAGGGAAGACTTGGTAAAGATCTCCCTTTTTTCATCTTTCATCAAGGGAAGAATGCTTCTCCTACCGTCGTTTCAATTTGTTTGTCCACTTTGAATGCGTTATTTCTTTTCAAGGCAAATAAATTGAAGTGAAAGAAGTAATGCGTTATTTCTTTTCAGGACTTTTCAAGACAAATAAATTGAAGTGAAAGAAGTAAAGATTACACTTTTTCCATCTTTCATCATTCATAATGAGTATAGAGGGTGGGGGGGGGGGGGGGTTAAAAATAAAGTTTTCTTTTTATGTATTTAAAGGTAACTTTAGAGGACTATTTTGTCTCATTTTGTGGTGTTTCCTTTATGTGGACATGAAAGGTGAAGGGCCATACAATCACATGGCTACTGACACCATTTGAAGGTACCCACCCCACACCACATCACCATAAGGCAGGCTCCTTCCACTTTGAGTACCCCATAGACTTATTCAAACTTGAATATATATTTGGCCTTTTGTTTTTATGGGTACTGATGTCCTTTCTGTTTTGTCATTCTTAACTTTAATCTACTGACCACATGTGCCCCCAAATTTGCTCCTTTTCCCAACAACTATTCACTACTCCCTCCATTTGATTATTACTTTGAAATGGTCGAGAGTCATGAGGTCTCATGTTCTAATTTCAATTGAGATAGAAATACTAATTGATTTGTTTCATCTGTTCGTATTTTGATTGACAATGGTGGGAGGTTGAAGAATTTTCATGAAATTAGTTGAGGCATGTGAAACTGACTGTGGATACTATGATCATATTAGTTCTAATTAATATTAGTTCTAATTAATATGATGAAAAAATGTATTTTAAAATGTTAGTCATAGTTTGGATAGCGGCTGCGGGTTTTCCTTGTCATTAAAAAAAATGTTAGTCATAGTTTCTATAATTTAATTCTCGACAAATGAAATGTGCAAGTAAGAACGAGGGGTTATATAAGTAAAAATAATGAATGATATTCAAATGAATATTTGTTACCTTTTACTAGTAAATAAAAAGAAATTACTTTACATTCTATGTCTAGTTTGATAGTTGAACTCCAATCTCTCATGGTTTTCATCCTTTAATATTTAAATATGTATTCTCACCAACATTGTATTCTTTTAATCTCATTTTATTTTTACATGCTTCTTAGAAAAAATATTAATCAAGTCATTTTATTTTTATTGATGCCTTTAAAAAAATATAGGAGAATTCACCTGAGAATATTCACAAAGTTCAATGAGTTCAAGAAAATAGATTTAATGAAATTTTGAAGAAAAAAAATAGACTGTGAACTATTCAAGAGTCATGAGTTTCATATTCAAATTTTAGTGAAGACAAAAATATCATTTTTTGTGTTCTATTTCACGTGACACTATTTAATTTGGCATAATGGTTAAGGAAAAGTAAAAACAACGAGTGGTATTCGAGCTAGTTCGTGTTCAGTTCGATAATTTTATTGGGTATTTGTTACCTTTAACTAGTATTGATAATGTTAATATTGGACATATAAAAAGAAATCACCTTAAAATATATCTTCTCACTAACACTATACTCTCTTTATCTCAAATTATAAAAGTATTTATTTTTTATTTATTTATACGCTTCTTAAAAAATATTAATTAGGAGAAATTTTCAATATTTTATTTTTATTTATATCTTTAGAAAAGAGAGGAGAATTCAACCACCAAGTTCAATGAGTTCAAGAAAATGGATTGTGTAGCTCAACTAATATGCATGTACCTTAGCTTATAATATAGGCCTAATTCATCGGTGATCCCTTAAAGTTGACACAAAATTTCACTTAGACACCTTAAGCGAATGATATTTATTTTAGACACCTCATGTTAGCTTTTGTTATGTCATATTGACACTTTTTGCCTACCTGACTCAATGAGTGTAATACACTCGATGACTGCGGGTGAAAAACATATTCAATCGACTTTTTAATTTTTTTTCTTCTTCTTCTTTCCAATTTCAGCCTCCATTCCTGCAAACATAAATATCCAACAATGGCGAAGAGAAATAGTTACAGTAAAATGATGAAAAATGTTGAATCTGTGTTAGAAAATTTAAGAATAGGCCCATTTCAACATTTAAATATTAAATTATTCATGAGATTCTTTCTTGAAAGAAATTAATTTTTACAGAGGAGTAAATTTAATTTTTTGTGAATTCTTAACCTACTAATTAGGGTAAAAAAGAAACAAAAAGATATTTGAAGAAGAAAATAATAAAAAAGGAACATTGTGTTGATGGGTGTGAGCCCAAATGTTATTGAAAAAAAGGAATATCGATATTTGGAGAAGAAAATCAGAGGAAATGGGTGCCCAGATGTTTCTGCAAATGAATAGATATTTGGAGAAGACAATGGTGGGGTGGGGGTGGGGTGGGGGACGGGGTAGAGGTGTTTGGAGAAGATGTGGAGGGTGAAATTGGGGTCCTTGGGGGGGGGGGGGGTGGGCATGGGGATTTATTGGTTTAACTCTTTTTTTTAAAAAAATTATTGGGCAAAAATCCATATGTCATTGATTCATTGGTTACTTTTTATTTTTATTCAAAAATAATTATTTAAGAATTATTTTTGATGCAAATGACACATGTTGTCGTTTAACTTGTCACTTTACACGTCATTTGCGAGTGTAACACACATCTTATATATTTTTGTTGATTGGTAAAAAAATGTCAAAATGACACATCAAGACTCTATATGAGGTGTCTAAATAAACATCGTCCAATTGAGGTGTCTAAGTAAAACTCTGTGCCAACTTTAAAGGGCCACCGATGGGTTAGGCCTATAATATAATATTATTTTTGTGAAAAAAAAGAAGAAGAAAAAGGACATTCTTAGTTGCATATGTTTATGATTTTTTTAAAAAAATATTTTTTGTGAAGTCCTATATTTCTTATCAAGAATAAATGCACTTTTTCTATTTTATTTTAATTGTCGTTTAAACCTTTTTGTTACTTAATAAAAAAAATATAAAATATAATTTATCGAGTGGATCAATTCAAAATATTAATCATACGCGCCTTACGCTTAATGCCACGTAGGATAACAAGTCATCTTAACCATATGTAAAACTACATATTGCTACTGATTTTAACATTCACTGCACAGTTAAAACAATGACACCACACGCATAGCGTATGCTTGTCATACTTCCTATTCTACCCCTCATCAAACTAAAGAATTACACTCTCTACTACATTAACTTGGATTAAACACAAGGGTAAAAATGTCATTTTCAATCAACTAGCTTAAACTTCAAAAATTCTTATAAGATCATTAGATAAGACTCAAATCAAAATTCCATCAAGTTGTTAAACTTAATATTTCAAAATTCTCAAATGGCTATTTCTTCCAAATTTGTTGGTATTCTTCTGATCGTCATCCTTATCTCTTTTCCATCGAAAATGAAAAGTGAATCTGAAAATAATAATACTACAACAAAATGTGGTTCAAATGATGATCGACAAGGATGTACAAACAATAAAATATAGGGCATTAAAGTTGAAACTTAGGTTTTGGAGCTAGGAATAATTGTGCACTCAGTAGTGATAGGATTATCCATGGATGCATCTGATAATACATGTACAATTAGGCCATTAGTAGCTGCTATATGTGAGGTTGCATCCTCCAGGTATATATTTTTGATCGATTGCGTATATACAACAATAATAACTATGTCTCAGTTTTGTTCTATTTTTTTTTTCGCGTTTAGGCGAACTATGGTATGAGGATGAAATCAATGTTGGTGCTATTTTTCTCAATAACAACACCATTTGGTATAGCACTTGGAGTTGGATTATCAAATGTGTATAGTGATAATAGTCCAACATCACTCATAGTGGTGGGATTGTTGAATGCATGTTCAGCTGGTTTATTGAATTATATGGCACTTGTGGATCTTCTTGCTTTTGATTTTATGGGTACCAAATTGCAAAATAATATGAAGCTTCAATCTTGGGCTTATCTTGCTGTTTTATTAGGTGCTGGTGGAATGTCTGTTGTGGCCATATGGGCCTAAGTTGGTTTTATTTTCAACTCCTTTTTTTTTTTTTTTACGATCAGTGCTGCGTGTAATACATCTGACTACCATATGGGCATGAAATTACATTTTAGTTTTATTTCCATCATCAATGTGTAGTTGTGAGTAGTGGAAATAATGTGTAATTTCTTTTTTCGATTCATTTTAAATTAGTGTTATCAAATTAAATATCTGAATTCACTTTTTTTGTTGAAACTTAATTGATTTGAGTTGTTTTTGCGCCTTGAACTAGGATAATTTCAAACTAGAATGATGTGGACCTCCGCATATGTAGTGGTCAAGCAACAAATTCATTGTTCTTGCAAGTCATGGTATTGATCGCGGGAAGGACAACATCTTCACAACTCGAATGATCAGAAAGTTTCAAAAGTAAATTAATCAATCTAGGGATAATTTCAGAGATCTCCCCTCAGGTTCGACTATATAACAATAACCTTCCTTGTGGTTTGAGATATTACATTCATCTCCCTTATTGTAATATTTTTGTAATAAAACTATTTTAAATGATATATTCTCCTTAATTTACCGAAACTACCCTTATTAGCCATCTTTTATTATACTCTGCTTTTAAAATATAAATCTCCTCTCAAAGTTTTTAAAATCGAAGAAAATTTCAAGCAACAGTCATCTTTGTGTGTAGCAAATCAGTGTAATTCCTGCATAAAGCATTCTTTTTTCTTCCTTTAAACTTTTGCTAATAAGAAATAATGATTAATATATAAATTTCATATCCTCGTATTGGTTCATAAGCAAAATCACAAGGGATATTAATGTTATTAAGCCAAACCCGAGGGGATATCTCTGAAATTATCCCATCAATCTATTGTAAATAAATCAATTTAGCCAGTAGCCTCCAAGAACTCTAATAATACATATTGAGTTTATCTTGAAGAGCCCTACAAAATTTTAATATCTACATGTTCTTCTATCTTGGATATTAAAATGTTAATTTTATTTTTAATATTTGGTCCACCAAAAATCACAACTTATGCTATCATATCGCATGTGACACATCACACTTGACCTCATCTTGTTCTCCTTTTTTTTGTTATATGTCTCCGCGTGGTTATTTTGAATTTAAGTTCTCCACTCTAGTTCTTGCTTTTTTTATTAAATTTAAAAAAAATATTTTTCCATTTGATTTTCTTTCTTATTTTCTCTTCTTCATGCTATCCTTTTTCTATGTTATCCTTCATTTTTTTCTACGGACCGTTTTCTAATTTTTGGCTTTAACAACGTTTATTCTTATTTTTGCCTTTAGCAATAAATGACAAAAAAAATTTTCCCCTAAATTTAACTAGAAGCAAGGACTACAATTCTGAAAATATTTTACCAAAAGTGATGACACCAAAAACTTCAAGAACTTTATGAAATCTTCTATCACTGAAATGTTAAAAGAAATTGAACAAATAAATATGCATTTCAAAGCATTTTGTAGTTGCAAAGGTTGTGCTCTTATTGATATTAACGTGCTCCAATTTCTGTTAACATTGAATACAAAATTTGCATCTTTGGTAAAAATTATATCAAATTTGAGGATGCTTATTATTATCTCAAGAATTTGTTTACTCTGTTTTTTATATTTTTATTTAAAATATTATAATAATCTTCTTTTCATGTGTATTCCAAAGGAAAACATCTATTTTATGTCTTCAAATATATTATGCTTACTATAGAACTAGTCATTATTATGTGTTTATAGTTTATAGCTATGTATGCAAAGAGTTAGTATTCATTATATAATATATAACTACATGAAAAATTCTTATCTAATAGAATATTAGTAATTTGTTGCAATATGATACCTTGGTTCTTATTTTCAAAAAAATTATTAATATACAATACTATTTAATTAAAAGTTCTAAAGTATCCGAGAAAATTATATTGTCATTTAACTAAAAACTTAAAAATTTTAAAGAAACTTGAGTACATATTCAAATTTTCCAAATATTAATTATGACTTTTTAATACGTACATATCGTAGTTACTTTCTAGTGGTTATAAGAAGAATTTTGCTGAAAATTAAAATTGATTATAACTTAGAGATATTGAAACAAAAATTCGACAATTTGAAAAGAAAGTGCATTCTTGTGTTACTATACAAAAAAATTATAAATTTTTTATATTAAAAAGATTTGAAAATGATATATAATTCTATATAATATATATTCAAATTATCATAATAAAAGGTCCCTTTTTTTCTCTTACATTTTATTTTGATTTGTTCAAATGTGTGATCAAATTAGGTTATATCTCTACCTCTCATTAATTAGTACATATATCTACCCGTACATTTTAAAAACCAAATGGGAAATCACACATAGATATATCTGAGCATTCTCCTGCTCTACGAAGTCGGTCCCCTTTTCCCAATTTTCTTTCTTCTAAAGAGGCTCCACCATCATGGAGCTACAAATCCCACAACTAGTTACAAATTTTAGAGGAATTCAAAATTTAAACGCGAAGTAAATTGGAGTAGATTTGAGTTTTTCATGTTTGTTATTATTTGTATAATGTTTGTATATCAAATTTTTGAATATTTCTATAAGAAAATAGGAGGGTTATGCGACTGAAAACTTAAAATCAAGGGAAAATCACTTGCGTGTACACTTTTTAAAAAATATTTACGACATATGTCAACATAATTCTTTTAACCATATATAACAATTTGGCTGAATGACAGTATTGCTAAAAGTTGCGAATGACAACACTTTTTGCTAAGTTTAAAGGAACAAAATTGTTTTAAATCAGTATTGCTAAAAGTTAACAAAAATGGTAATAAATAAAAGTATACTTAAAAGTGGTAATTATTAAATAAAAGACCTTCACTTATGTAATTTTTCCTAAAATGAATGTGTATTGTGAGAATAGTCCAACATCACTCAATCATGGGCTTAACATTATTAGGTGTTGGTGGAATGTTTTGTTATGGCCATATGGGCCTAAACTGGTTTTATTTTGGGAAAATTGTATAAAACAACAAATTATTAATTCAAATTAAATGTTATAACCACAGTTTCATTTAATTCTGATCCATAGCAAACACTTGTCATTCGCCTCTCTCCCCAAAAATTTCAGTCGCCACTCTCCCTGATCTCGCTCGCCACTCTCCCTCGCCTCTCTCACTTTATACAAACACAAATGTATAAATTGAGTTTGTGTTTGTAAAAAAAGAGAGAAAACTGTATATACAAATAAAAATACATATGTTTTCGTCATATACACTTATAATTATACAAATACAGATCTTCCCCAACCAATTCTCTTTTGCCTTTCTCTTTCTCGCTTTATACAAACACAAATTATACAAATTACAATGTATAATTTGTATTATATAAAGTGAGAGAGAGAGAGAGGTTTGATATACAAAAAATTTATTTCTATTCAATTGTATACAAATTCAAATTTTATGCAGATATACAAACATACAGAACATATACATATACAAATTCATAGACACATACGCCTAATTTATACAAATCGCTGCGATTTATACAAATCAGGTGCCTACAATTTTATACAAATCAAAGTTGCGTGCGATTTTTTTACAGATCTGTTGTTCCATAGCAAACATAAAATTTGCTATGCAACCTATAACTATAGCATACAAATATATATGATTTTTATGTTTGCTAAACCTAAGATTTACTCTTTTATTTTCAACCTTTTTTTGATTCGGTAAGTGGTGCGTGTAATACAATCAGTTATATATAGCTAGGGGTAAATAAAGCTTTATTTATTATCCAATTTCATTTTAAATTCGTGCCACCAAATATATGAATCCATTTTCTTTATTGAAGCTTAGTTGGTTTTTGTAAAATCCGTTTCTCTTATGATCGATGAAGAAAAAGGTTTTTTTCAATATTGAATATATGAATTATTTTATTCATAGAATCACCACTTGGAATTGAGTTATGGTGTTCCAAGTCATGAGTTGAAACTTGAAAATGGTAAAAAATAATGTGTCTATAGATTTTTCATATGATTACTTTCTTTTTTTTTTGAAGAAAATTGGATAGACAAAAAAGGCGACTTTATAAAATTATAATAACTATATATCAATTGAGTGATCACATGAGAAATCGAAGAAAAAGTAGGAAGACATTTGCATATGAAGGGAAAATCATAGAATTCTTCATTTGCTAATTATCACTATACATAAATTTGAGATCATATTTTGCAGTTTGATTTGGATAGAAGAGTCCAAAGTGATTTTCTGTGATTTCTCCTTGCTTTTGATTTTCATCAAACATTGCAAACAAATAAGTTTCTATGATCCTTCCTGGGTTCTTTGGTGTTCCAACCCCGCTTTTCACATGATTAACCAAATTTCTATAATAAATTTGAGCATTTTCGAGAGTTGCTGAAGGGTGTCCGTTAGAAGGCCAACCAGTTTCCGATACAACAATCTCCACATTTGGTCCTCCGGCTTTCTCTATAGCAAAATATGTAGAATCCAAAAGGGCATCGAAAAGATTTTGATATCCTATCGAATTTTCACCTTGTTGGTTGAAAAGTGCATAGGAAAGTGGAATATCAACCATGTTATAAATATGGCCAAAATAAGGGTAAATATTGGCTAAGATTGGAAGGTTATTTCGCGCTAGAAATTCAATTATAGGGTTAATGAAACCCTTAAATTCTTCGCGAAAGGTACTATCTTTGGGTGGGTAGGTGTTGGCTAACAACCCTGAATATGTCGCAGTTGAGACCTTGATCTTATCTTGTAACCCTGCTGCTGATAACGCGTTGTAAACATTTTTCATCACGGGAAGAACAAATTGCGAAATTTGACCATTAGATACTTCATTTCCTATAGATATATATTTGAATTTAACATCTGGGAAATGATTTTTTATATTATTTTGAACCCAACCATTAGCATTTGAAGGATTGGTTAGGGCTTCAAGATCTTGATTTGTGACATCAAGAATTATTTCAATGCTACTTCCTTTGAGAGCATTGAAGACATTTGTATC